AGAGAGAGAAAATTCCTTATCAAGTGGGATCTGTAGATCAGTTGATTGTGTAACATTACATCATAGTAAGACTGAGAATACTTTTTAACAAATCTTTCTTTACTGGAAACCAAGAAAAGCTTCAAAATCCATACCTATTCTAACATTCTGAAAATTTTTTTATCATGTTAGTAGTATAATTTAGGCTTTAACATTAATCCAAACTCCTTAATCACAAAAGATATTTGAAGAGTATTTTTTTAATACAAATTAGAGTTAGGTGAATAAATATGTATAATCTATTACTAATGAGCAACTATTACATAAATTAGTATATAAAAAATCATTCAAAATTACAATTAACATCACAAAGATAATCAATTAATTCACATTAGTGTTTCTGACTGTTATTGTAAACAAGTTAATAACTTAGCCCTAGACATTATCATACCTTTCAGAAACCTTTGATCTAGGTATTATAAAATTAAAAGAAAGCAGTTTCTGAATATAGCCGAGTTCTGTCAGTAAAATTTTAAATGTTAAAAGGAAGATCATTATTATCCATAATTACATTTTAAAAGCTATTTGGGACTTAAATGTGCCACCTGTTGGAAATCTTGCACATTTGAAGTCAAAGTCACATACACGTAAAAATTTTTTACTCTTAAGTCAGAATTATAAACCTATAGAGATTGGTTTGGCTGACAGGTAATGATGATTTTTGGCCCCTTTGAAATTGTTTATTTGTTTGTCTGTAATTAAGCACAAAGCTAAACAATGGGCTCACCACGGTGAACCAATATTTCTACCAACTAGCATAAAATACCTGTGCTCTGCTGTGGGGTTCAAAGGCCTCTTCATGATTCACAGAATGCTCAATGTACCAATCAAAATCCTCCCTTAGTCCCAATTACTTCTACATCTACTTCATGAACAGTCTTTAGATGAAGAGAAACATCTCATGGTATCAGACCATATATGCCAAATTGGTCCTGCTAGCTTGTCAGTGGAAATACAAACACAGCACCTCTGGGTTCCCAAGGAGGGCAAGGAACACAAAATCTAATACCAGATTTGGGTTTAACAACTCTGTAAACATACTCTTGGATCCCCATCCAGGTATGTTTTAGGTCCCCCTCATAAGGAGCTAAACCATAAAAATAAGGACACCTCCTGGGTCACCAAAGTCTACCTGCCAAGCTTGGTCCTGCTAGCTCCACACTGTGGCAGGGGTTGGCTGACCAAAGATACATATAGCTACTATATTAAACATGATACCCTCAGGATGCTGAGGGGAGCCAAAAACACAAAATCTGATGTCACATTTGGGTTCAGCAACACTGCAAACCTACTCTTAGGCCCCCAACATGCCTAGTGCTTTCTGTGAAATTTTGTATTATTAAAAAAACTTTACCCCTCTAACATGCTGTCCCATATAAATAAGGACACCCCTTGGTACACCTCCAGAAATGTAAGATGATTCAGCTGGGCATACATACAAAGGTACAAGCTGAATTAATATACAAGTTGGAGAATTAATTGCTTTTTATAAAAGATAAATATTTTAACAATAGGAAATATAATTATTTTGGAAATAAGAATATTAACAAGCATCTCACCACTAACTGTAGTGGGCTTTCAAGGGGAGCAGTTTTATATTTTTGATGCAGAAACAACAAAATGTAAACTTTGAGTTTGTTGACTTCTCTAAAATTCTCTGTTTTATGATCTGGTATTTAATCTAGCTAAGAGAAAAACAAAATGGAACAAAAGTTCAGTAGTTAGCTAGCTATTAACAATTATTCTTGCTCAATCATTTTTTAGGCTCTATGCAGTGCCTAATTACCTGTCTTTTCAGTGTGTCCTGTTACTACTGTATAAAACATGTTTAAAAAAAAGGCAAACTAGAATTAGAATTAACTTACAAATGCTTGGGGTAATTGTTTTAGGGAAAGGTTTGATACTTAAGTAGCAGGTGAATAGTCCATTTTTCTTCTATAATGAAAATAACTGTGGTAAACTCATCTGTAATTTCAATGTTTTCATGCTTTTGTCTTCAAGCTTAATTTCAACAGATATGATTTGATTTCCATTATCACTTCATACTTCCAACAATACTGCTAGTCTTCTGCTAACATGTCACCTTGTGGCAGCCAAATTAATCAATTAGCTTTCAGAGTTTAACTTTTTGCATTTTACTGATGATTTAGCTACCCAATTCTAACATGTTGCATTGCCTGTCGATATTGGAATGACATGTCTTCTCATGGTAATGGACAGTTGTAACACATTAAGTTAACTAGACTATATTTTTTTATTAACACTCCAACAGTGTTTTTCCACACACACACACACATATACGAAAAATTATAATAAACATTATGAAAGATGATCCCATACTGAAACTTGAAACCAAAATTATTTTAAGACTCCTAGAAAATTGAATGTAACAACAAAAAAGAATCGTAATTAAAATAGGTCTAATACAAGTAACAGTTAATATTTCAAGTTCTGACTAACACAGTAACACTAACAACCGTGCGCAACCGTAAAACACTGGAGTGATTCATTTAAACTAATTAACCTTAAAGTGCTACTGATAGTCTGTACAGCACAAAAGCATTTTATCTTCTTTTATCTTGCAAAATTAAGTATTTGGTATCCGAAAAGTCTAATGATAATCTTAAACGAAAAATATCACAATTAATAACACTTACTCACTGTCCGCAGATGGCATATTTAAAAAACGAACAAACCCATAGACACTATCACAATAAAATGTGGCAAAATTAGATAGTTGAGAGTGAGAGACCTCTCGTGTTTATTTTTCATTAAATATGGCGAAATAATACATAATCGAATACAAAAACAAAGCATTTTATTTTTGATAAAAGTATTTTTCTGTAATGTTAAAATCATCAGAAAATCCCTCAATATTTAGTATGTTTTTTTAAACTTAAAAATTATAGCCCTGTCCATTTAACTGAAATTTTCAAATAAATATTGTTAATCATATCAATATTTTTATGGGTCATATTAAAAGCCAGCTTTTACAACTAAGCCCCGTAAAACCTCATACATGGAAACTTCACATAAGTAACAAATTTTCATTCGGACAGCCGGTTTTGGGTCACTTAAAGGATTTATCTCATATGCAAACATCTCTCACAAAACAATCAAGTTTACCTTTATATACCCTCCTATCCAAATTAACTTTCTTGACGTCATTGCCTTTTTAAAGGACGAAATTTTACACATCGACTTGTACAAAAACCTACAGACAGACCACAGACCTTCACTATAAAAGCTGTCACCTCACTCACTCTAAATGGAACATTACCTACAGTCAAGCTCTTAGAATAAAGAAAATCTGTTCAGATGAAATAGATTACAGAAAACACATCAAGGATCTAAAATAAACCATGTTACAAAGAGGATATAAATATATTGAAATTGACAGACATATCGAAAAAAATTAACAACACTCAGCGGGGAAACACCCTAAAACAGAGTAACACTAAAGTTTCATATAGAATTCCTCTTGTTATCACTTTAAACTCAGAAACATTTCGCGCATTGTAAAAAAACATTTTCATCTCCTACAACTGAATGATCGCCTTAAACAGATATTTCCTGAAGTTTCTGTTGTCTCTTTCCGGAAAAGCAGAAATATAAAATATACTGTTACGTCTCCGTTTGTTAATTGATTTTCCGTAACTTCGTTCCGACGAAACTTTAGCGACACAAGTCCTTTCTTAATAAAACTGGTTTATTCTTTTCGAATACAACTTTACCGATACACTTAATTTCAACAGAACGTCTCACGTGCTCGTGCTCGACAATACTCAGTTCAATTACACATTCTCTGACTGC